TAAATAGTAAAATTATCAAAATGTCAGTTTTACAGCCATGGAACTCAGTGAAGCTGGCCTCATAGACTGTATGGAGGTTTCTTTCTCTTAATTTCTAATTGTATATTTAACAAGAGATCATTAGAAAGTGATGAGAGCAAAATTATTTTCTTACTATTGTAAAAATTTTAGTTCATCTCTTGGAACAGCTAGAGCTCGATTTGCAGCCCTGTAGGTACACATGGGGCCTCCCCCACTGGCAACGTCACCTGCTTGCCTCTTTTGATCGTATGTTTCCAGTTACGCTTCAGCTGAGTTTGTAATTTTTTACTCCTTGAGGAGAGTCACTGTAAAAATGGTAAATTGTTTCTATAACGGTATTGGTCTTCAACTAGCAACTTTGCTTGGTTTATGTTCACATGGACTGAGGTGGACTCTTTTTGAGAATTTTAATTGTCAAAAAATCACAAGATCACAAAAAATTTAAGAGCAAACACAAATTACCCTAAGCAGATACCCTGGCATTATGCCACTGTGATTGTAAACATCAGTAAAATATTTAACAACCATGAGACAAGTAAACAAATCAGTAAAATCGAAACACAAATTTCCAGAGTGAACCTCAGCAAGCTTAATAAAATAGCAGAAGTGGCTGCATGGGAACATAATTTTAACAATAATAAATCCAGTAAAACGAGGTATTGAAAACAGGAAGGAGTCAAAAGGATAAGGCAGAATTTACCTTAATCAGCTAAAATAATGTTGAATACCTAAAAGAAGAATTCAACACACACACACACACACACACACACACACGATATTAGACCAGTTTAGTGAGTGGTTGTAGGCCTGAGAGAAGATAAATAAATGCAACAAAATATTAGATATTTTGAAAAAAAAAACACGTAAGGACTTGAGGATATTTTTCTAAAACTATTGAGTCAGAAGCATCCAAAGGGATCAATGAGTAGGCAAACTAGCACAATGCTGATGAGCAAGACACTGAACATTGAAAAAATACTTAATACCCAAGTTCAATTCCAGGTGAAGTAAACTAGAAATCTATAGGTGTGGGGTCCAGATATTGGTATTTTTAAAAACCTCCCCAGGTGATTCTAAAGCCTGGACAGGACTGAGAGCCAATGGGCCTAGCACAATACAGCGCCATGGGCACTGTTGCCATATGGTAGCAATATACTGTGTCCAAGTCCGTGGCCTTCCAAGCAGAGATTGTTGAGGTAGAACTGAAAAATACTTCCATTAGCATGAAACTAGGTATGACAGTTTTAAAAAAGGGCCCCAAATTCTTCAACAGTTCTCTCACTGAGGGGCAGGATGTACATTCTCTCCTTGCTCCTCATAAATATGGGTGGATCTTCACTGCTTCATTGAAAAAATAACTGATACTACCTTAGTTCTTTCTGAGGCTACCTAGCAAAAGGCAACATAATTTCCACCTCAGAAGCTGGGACACTCTTGGACCTCTGCGCCAGGAGGCAGCAGGGAAGATCAGGCCCCATGGAGAAGCCACATGCAGGAACTGATGCCCAAACTGATGCCCGGCCCATCAGAGTCCATTGAATAACTGAGAGATTGAATGACTATTTTAAAATTCTGGGACTTGAAGGCATCCATATAAGTAAGTGTGTTGGAGTAATGTCTCTTAATTTGCCCATCAAACGTTCATTTTCCAGTTTTCCTCTAAATCTAAGATCAATCTTATTTTAAACAATCAATGAAATTACAAGTGCCTGAAGCTATATACATATTGAGCTTTTCTCGTTTTGAATAGTGGCTGCATTTGAATTGAAATAGAAAATAAAAATGTTGAAAATGATGGGAAAAGGTCTGTAACATAAAACTGACCTTAAAGGAACAACTATTATTTTGAAATATAGAAAAATGAATGAACTTTTAATCATTTTAATAAGGACCTAGAAGGCTGAACGGTGCTCCCCTCCATAAAAAGGTATATCCATGTCCTAATCTCTGGAAACTGTAAATGTCACCTTTTTTTGGGAAAAGGGTCTTCACAGATGTAATTAAGAGTTTTGAGATAAAATCATCCTGGGTTATACAGGTAAAACCTAAATTCATTAACAAGTGTCCTCACAGGAGACAGGAGAGATTTAACAGACAGAAGGGAAGGAGGAACTTGACTGCTGATGCTGAGATCTGAGAGATCTGACTGAGGCAGCTGTAAGCCCAGAATCGCTTAGAGCCACCAGAAGCTGAAAAGGCAAAGAACAGATCCTCCTCCACCACCCCAGGAGCGTGGGGCTTGATTTCGGACTTCTGGCTTCCAGAACTGTGGGAGAATAAATCTGTTGTTTTAAACTAACCAGTTTGTAGTAATTTGTTACAGCAGCCACAGTGAATTAATACAGTTAGGGAAAAAAACAAAATATTTCCCCATCAAAATTTAATAAATTTCAATTTTATTCTTTACACTTGTCTCCTTATGCTTCTATCTACAAGATAGATTTCAGTGCAAAATATCACTTCTAATATAAAATGTCAAATTTTTATTACCACTGTTTTCTTTAAGCTTCCCAAACTTTTTTGTCTATTTAATGTGTAACCTAACAGTGCTTTTTAGGCATTTTTTATCAGCAATCTAAACAGTACAAAGTGAAGGATTAAACTGAGTATTCTGCATTCTGCAAACAGTTCCTTTAAAAACATATGTATTGGGGAGGTGAGGGGTGCAAAGTGGAGCACTTACTAGAAGAATGACATCCTTGCTACAAAGCACATGGTTTGTAGGGAAAGGTCTGCGGACATATTTTAAAGAAGGCTGTCTCAAATTCTATTAGGGACGCATCCTACAAAATGACTTACCCATACTCTTCAAAACTGTCAAGGTCATCAAACATGAGGAAAGTACCATATGACAAAATGTATAGCCAAGAGGAGCCTAAGGAGACACGAAGTTTAAATATAATGTGGTATCCTGGAAGAGAAAAAGGGCATTAGGTAACCATTAAATCTGAATATGGTAATGACTTTAGTGAAGAATAATATATCAATAGTGGTTCATTAATTTTAACAAAAATACTGTACAAACGTAAAATGTTCATAAATAGGTGGACCGGTTGCCGGATATACAGGGAACTCTGTCCTATCTTCTCAATTTTTCTGTAAAGTTAAAACTGTTCTAAATACTAACGTCTATTAAAACACAGGCAAGACTGTCTCTATCAATAGTTCTATTTTAAAGAAGAACTATTTAAATAAGAAACTAAAGTTGAAGGAAGTGAAACATTTAATACAAATCAGTATTGTTGAGGAAGTTTTCTCGACTGTTTCCCAGAATGCTAGTCCTTCCTGCAAAGGATTACTTAAAGCGTTTTTCCTCTAATTATTGGCGATGTTCTGAAATGGGTACACCACCAAGACTTGCAAGAAAAGGGGGCGGGGGGGGGGCCGAAAAACAGCTGGCTCTGCTGGCAGGCTAGTTTGTAGGGCTAACCGGCGTGCCATCTGCTCGCAGCACAGCGGTAACCATGGTTCACGTGCACAGCGGTAACCATGGTTCACGTGCAACACCGGCGTTCGTGTTCGGAAGCGCCCCAACAAGCCTGGGCGACTTGGCTTCTGCGCAGGTTGCTGGGGTTAGGGGGTAGCGGCAGCAGCATCCAAAGTGTGTACATCGTCTTCCCAAACTCCATCTGCTTTACCCCTCCCCGGCTGTGCCCGCGGTCTCCCCGCGCGGCAAGTTTAGAGGACCTGAGCGGGTCTTTTATGCATAACAAAAGAACCCTCCTCCCCGCGCTGCCCCTCCCGCCCCCACCTTGGCTTCCCGCGGCCGCCCGGGCCCGCGTCCTCAGCTGGAATTGGCTCCCGGACCCGAAGTTTCCAGGTACCCGGAAGGGGGAGGGGGCCGAGGCGGCAACAATTGGGCGGGTGTGGGCAAAACGCGCGGTTCGGAGCGCCAAGACTCCGAGGGCGGGGAGCCCCAGCCATGCGGCTGCGTGATAGGCCGGGGCCACACCACAGGCCACCGTTGATTGGTGGATTCTCAAATTCGGCCTCAAGGCGCCAGAGGAGGTGTTTTAGCGGGGACCTCAATCCTAGACTGCAGTCACAGTTGGCTTATCGGGACGCTGGTGCTGTCCTGACTCCGCGGGGTCCCCGCCAGCGCAGGGCATTCAGAGCTGGGGTCTGTGTGCCTGGCTGTCCCCGCCCGATGTCGCCATCCGGCTGCTGATCGCCTCGCCTCACTGATCACGCGCGAGTGTGAAGCGGTGGAGGTCCAGGTAGAGGCAGGAAACTTCCTTCGCAAAGCGGGAGTAAGTAGCTCGCGGCTCCTGCGCTGGCGGGCAGGCGGGACTTGGGGGGAAAAGGGAACCCTTCCACCCGGCTGCCAGCCTTCCACCCCTCCCCTCGTCGGCTGGCGGGGAATCGAGGAATTTCTGCCGCCAGACCCGGCGGGCGTGGGGTGTCCTGGCTCCAGCTCTTCCTCCGACCGGGCAGTAGAGAGAACCTATCTTTGCTCACGATTTGGGGGCTTCATTGGGAGAGTTTATCTTTGGGGTCTACTTGGGAGCCTGGGAAGGGGCTGCGCTAAGAACTGGATGAATTTGATCTAGCGATCAGGTTTCCTTCCCCCTCCCCGATTCAAACTTTCTCAAAGCCGAATTCCTCCCAGTTCTTTGCGCCAAAAGTAACTGACCTAGGAGACCCTGTACTTTCTGACAGATTTGCCCTACACTACACCTTCCTGAGTTGGTAATTTTTACACTACACCTTCCAGAGCTTGGTTATTTTCTGTTGCTTTTTATAAAAGATTACTATTTTGTCGATTTTTTTTCTTCCCGTTTTCAGTAATTAATGGGTGTTTCTATTCGTTTTTGTGCATGCTAGAGAGTGGAGGGCGAGGGGCTGTGTTCCTGGAAATTCCCAGGATGAGTTTAGGGAGGGGAAGTTCATGTTCACGAGCAAGTAATAAACAGATATTTTTGTTGGAGGAGAAAGCATCTAACTGTAACATCATTTTCTAATGTAATCGTGCATTACAGATGGAAGTAAATTGTTTAACACTGAAAGACCTGATCAACCCCAGGCAGCCCAGACTAGATTTTACAACTGAAGATGGGGAAAATGCACAAAAGGTAGGTGCACTAAGGTGTAACACATTTAGGATGGTGGTGGGTAATTCTATTGTGTTTCAATATGCCTCCCGTATTTGTCTTATAAACCTAATCATTATGATGAACATTGTAGAAATATACTTTTTTTTAATGGAGGCATCCAAAATATTATTATTGAGTTTCTCAGTCATTGTGCAGTGGAAAAAGGTTAGATGTAGTGTTGGAACAAGTTTATATGAATCAATGATATGCTGGACACCACAGTCAAAAGTATGTAATATTCCTAGTTGTCAAAATTGAAATTCACTAATGCTGTGTAGGAATATTAAGCCTCAGTTCCCAGGAAAATAGACTCTTTGGTATAAAGACTGGATTATTTATTTCAAAGATTTTATTTATTTATTTTTAGAGAGAGCGGAAGGGAGGGGAAAAGGGAGAGAAACATCCATCAGTTGCCTCTTGTATCTGTCCCCACCCAGGACCAAACCCACAATCCAGGCATGTGCCCTGACCAGGAATTGAACCAGCAACCGCTCAGTTTGTGGGATGATGCCCAACCAATGGAGCTGTGCCAGTCAGGGTTAATGCTAGATTGTTAAAAGCGCTCTGAAATGTTCTTCATACCCATATATCAGCTCCTAGGAGCTGTTTCATTCACCCATGTAGGGAGATAAGTGACTGAGCCCAGCAACATACTCTTTGAATATTGACAGTACTATTGCTGGTCTAGTTTTGCACTGAGTCATTGCTCCTTTTTTGCATCCCTGTGATTTTTAAGACCATGGTTGTGTCTTCAAGAAATATCACTAAGTAAATTGGCTATTCCAATATCAAAACTATCACCGTACCCACATCAGCATACTTATGCTCACCAACCAGTGCCCTACCAAAAAGCTGTAATAGGTTGTTAATAGCAAGCATTTAAGCATTTTTAGGCAAAGACAAATAGATATAATAAACCTGGATGCAGAAACTTTGAGTATAAATATGAGCTAGCAACTTCCTGGGGCATTGAGCCTGGTCTAACTTTTAGATTTAGCATCAGCAATGAAACTGCCTTGTTGCAAAGAACCTGTTATATGGCCCTTTGAAGGCTATTTGACAACCATTAATTTTAAATAGGTACAAAATTGTGTGCTTTTCCATGTAGGTATGTTTCCCCCTTAGCATTTGATTTATTTTTATTAGGAAAGCAAGTATACCAAAGCATTATTGTTTTAAAGAGGACTTTTCAAAAATATTACCTAAGCTGTATGAGGGTGGAAATGCCCAGAGTTGCCGAGTTGTGGCTTTGGAAGTTTCAGAGCAAAACTTTGTCTTTTATTATTTGGATGGGGCAGCCTTGAAAAAATATGTGTACATTTATATAAAGCTGAAGTCAGTGTCCACTTTTTTGCTTCTGGGTCAGTGACTTTATCAAGTGCCTTCAACAAGGGCACTTCTACTCTAGTTAGCATCAGTAAGCTCTATGTCCAGCTGAGCTTTCACATTCTCATGGATTAGGGGGAAAAAGAAAAAAACACGTAAGTGACTCAAAGGAGAGTGGGGAAGTAGTTAAAAAGTTTGAAATGGAATGTCTACACAGGAATTATTTCATCTCAAAGAAAAGGCAAGAGATGAAACCAGTGCTTCTGACTAGATACTTGGAGGGGCTTTTGCCCATCTTTTCCTGTTGCCGTGAAGGATTTCCAGGGATAGTGTGAACATGGGATTTGGAGTCAGATCTGGGTTTGCGTTTCTGTTCTGCCATGTATTAGCTATGTCACCTCAGATACACCTATTCGGTTTTTCAACAAATATTTATGTCAAAGGTACTACGGGTACAGTGATTTAATAAACCTCACCTTGTTAAGCCTGTTTCTTTCTTCCATAAATTGCAGCTAATACATAGCACCACCCCCTTTGGGTTTCTGTTATGCACTCTTCAGCACATGCTGTTCATACTGTGCTCAAACTGGCAGCCCAAAGATGAATGTGAGACAGGCCCGGCCCTCAGTTTCCACCTGAGAGACTTTCAGGGATTCATGTAAAACCAATTCTACAGGGATTTGGTAAGTGCTATAATAACAGTGGCAACAAAGTGGCCCCCACAGAGCAGAGGAGCAAGGAATAAATTCATGGGGAGTCTGGGGAGAGTTGGAAGGCCTCAGAGGAGCTATCATTAGAGTTGAGGATGTCCAGCCTAAAAGAAAACAAGAGTGAGTAAGAGAGACATTTTAGTCAGGAGTAACAACATAAAGTGTGCGCATTTAAGAAGTGTTCAAAAGATTTAACATGGCCACAAACTCATGGTGCTGAGTTGTTCCTTCTTAAAACCCTCTGAAGGATGCCTGCTACAGTGTCCTATGGATCACGTTGGCATGTAGAGCATTTATCTTCATTGACTGGTCAAGAACTCCTCTAAGTACTGTATTATACATGCATCTTTTCACTACCCTTGGGGAAACTTACTTTAAAATATAAAGGAGTTTTCAACTTGATTATACAAATTTACTGTGCCCATTTGTGAGATTATAAACAATTCTCCTAAGTTGTTTACAGTGCATTTAGGCATGACAAAAGTAGAAAATGGATGATTTGGGACAAAGAGGTAAGCAGTAAGGATTGAGCTGCAGTTAACATGTGAGCTAGGGCTTGAAGGAATGAAGGCGGAGATGTAGGCAAGGAGAGAGGAAAGGAACTAGCAAAGAAGTAGAAATAAGTGGTATATTGGGGGACAATGCCTAGACTTAGTGAGCACAGGAAGTTTTCTGATGGTCATTCATCTCTTTTGGGAGTGGTTAAGAAAGAAGAGGAGTTCAATTTGAAATATATGTCTGTACCTATGTTATAGGCAAGTAAGTATGTGCAGAAGGCAGCTGGTTGCCTGACTTTGGAATTCATGGAAGGTGCTAGCCAGACACAAACATAGGAATTATCAGCATACAGGTTGGTTCTAAAACCATGTACACGAAAGTGGTGAACTACCCCAGAGACAGCAGGTAGAGAAGAGTGGAGCGCTGAGGTTTGTAAGAGGGGAAAAAGAGGAACCAGTGAAGGAGCCTGCAAGGGAACAGAGAAATAGAGAAGAACCTGCGGAGAAAGACCTGCTGCCTCAGAACAACTGGCAGTTTTATAGAGCAGAGAACAGTCAGTAGTCTTCACCATTACAATGAGCTCAAGTGAGGTGGGTATTCTGCCATTGATGTGGCACCCGAAGGGTGGCCTAAGTGAGAAGCATTGGATCAGAACCCACTGTGATAATTTGAGGGCTCCCTGGGATATGAGTAGAGGAAAGCCCTCAGTGTGGGTTACTCATTCTAGAAAGTGTACTCTGAAGGGAAGGAGAGTTTTTAGTCAATATCTAGGGGAACTTCCTAACAGGCAGTCTTTGCAATGCGACTTAAACAATAGGTAGGGTTTCAGCAGGCCATGTTTAGCCGAAGACATTAAAGATAAAGTGATGGTGTGAGCAGCAGCTCAGGTGTGATAAAGTGCAGGACAGGTTTAAGAAAGGCAAGTGGACTCTTGGGGCAAAATGTGGAATCTCCATAAGATGGAACCGGAAAAGAAGGTAGCACAATACTGCCAAAGGCCCTGGCAAGGCCGATGCTGTATATTTTTTAAGGTTAACATGATCAAAGCTGTATCTGAAACAGAAGCAAGAATGAAACCAAGATCTTTTAACCACCAAGACCTTTCTGTGGCAGCAGACAGCATAGTCGGAATGCTGGTAATATTAATAATGTTGATGAACTTCTATGTAGCACTTCACCGATTATAGACTGCTTTCGCCTTCATTATCTGATCTGATCTGATTCTCGCAGTATCTCTAAGTATGTGTTCCCTTCATTTACATATGAAAACTAGAGAACCTATGTCATGGGTACTTTCTCCAGGCTCTAAGGAAGGAAGTGATTTCCAGGGTGTTGCAGATTAGATTTCCTGACAAGCTTAGTGTGCTAGAGATTTATAGGTAGTGTTCTAGGGATCAGTGCCTGGGGAAGGGAGGGGAAGGGAGGGGAAAGAAAAGCAGCACATATAGACAGAAGAAGAGGCCGATCTGCAACAGTTTCAGTGAAAGTCTGAGTTCCCCCTATGGGGAGTTCTGGGATGACCCCTCAGCATAGTCCTGAGTTGGGCAAAGGGCCAGGCTTTTAGTATCAGAGCTACCTCTATCAGCCAGGCAGGTACAGACCTCCTGGGGAGAGGCATGACCCCAGATGAGTCAGTCCACTTCAGCCAAGGCGTTCCAGTTCAGGACTTCCGGTTGGCATTACTTGCTGCAGCTAGGGAAATGAATCATTCGTTCCTGAAGAGGTCTGGCTGCATCTCAGTGTGCACCGCGAAGCTGAGCAGCCTTGCTCGAAAGCCTTGGAGCTTGAGGCTTTAGTCTGAACGTCTTGTTTTATGGATCAGGAAACTTAGTCTGTATTCAATATCAAAAAGATACAGAGCTGAGACAAAAACCAGGCTTCCAAATTCTTGCTTCAACCCCCTTTCCACTGCCTTACACAGCATCAGGATGGCAGGATAAACAGATAAGTGGAGCAGGGCGTGGTTAGGGAGCAGTTGATTTTCTGCCCACCTGAGACCTAGTGAGACAATTTGCTAGGGTTTTGTTTTGTTTTTTTTTCTTTTGATGTAGAGGTGTGATACAATCACAACCTACCAGCTAACCTAATTCCCTTCTACTTTGAGTACAGATAATCTTGACTGAAGATGGTTCAACTACAATTACTCCGCTTCTCACTGGTGTGAAAGCGACACGCATTGGGTAGAAATTGTACCTCAAATCTTGAATTTTGTTCTTTTCCCAGGCCAGCGATATGCAGTACGATGCTCTCATGGTGCTGGGCAGGGCAGTGAGCCGCAGCGCCCAGTCAGGCCTGCAGTCACAGGGTGAACAGGCCGTGCTCTGTTGCCAGTGTTTTTGGATATTGTGTTTCATGTTTTCACATTCCATCATGTCTACAAAATGCCCGTTTGGGTCTCCTGCTTCTGGTGAGAAGGAGAGGAAGGCAATTACAGGTGCTCCCCATCTTAGGATGGGGATGCATCCCCATAACGTGAGTGTTCAGAGCACATATAAGGTAGGGTAGGCGAAGCTATGATTGTCAGTAGTTTAGGTATATTAAATGAAGGATGATATTTTTCAATTATAATTGGTTTATCAGGACATAACTTCGTAAGTCAAGGTATAATACTTCAACTGTAGTGAAAATATATCAAAGTGTTCGAGGAAATGATCTGAATTGCTCCCTGGTGAGGAAAAAGTAGGAGCACATCTTTCCTGTGGCTACAGGTACCATGAAACGTAGAGAAGGGTGAATCTTTGCCTCGGCAAGCTTAGGCCACACCCTCTGCTGTAGGGATACTCTTTTGGATAACTAGATAATCAAAGCGCAGCGTTCTCTGAGCACCTATACAGGGCAAGGTATTGTGCCAAAGATTGTGAGGAATGACACGTGTGGAACTTACTCCCTGACCTCCAGAAGTGCACGGTCTCGTTAATGAGACAAGACATACACCCAGGAAGTACGATATGTTCACTCTGAGTGTCAGAATGAATGGTAATAAAGACTGGGAAAGCGGGAAAAGGTAATAGCTAAGTTTTACTGCATGCTCACCCGATGCCAGGAACTATTCTCATAACCCTTGATGTAGGTATTTTTATGAACTTATTTACAGTTGAGAGAATTAAAGCCTGGTGAGGAGAAGGAACTTGCCCGTCCCCACGCTGCTAAGTAGCTGGCCCCCGAACCTGCGTGTGGAACTGCTTCCCACTCTGCCTGTCTACGGCAGAATGCTCTCCGTGGATACCGGCGGGGCCTGCTGGGGCCTGTATGTTGGAGCTATGACAAAGATAACTGCCTCCCAGCCGGCACCCAGGACCAGCTTCTTTCTAGAGGCAGAACTTCAGAAACTCCTGCTTTCAGCTATTGCTTGCATACCAATTACTTATATGCACAGTGAGCAAATTATTTAACCTTCTCTGTGCCTCAGTTTCTTCATCTGTAGACTGGAAAAATAATAGTGCCAAGGTTATAGGATTTGATGAGTTAATATACGTAAAGTACATGAAACACGGTGTGGCACATAGTAAACATTCAGTACTTTTCCCTGGAGGGCTCCCTTGCAGAAGACTTTATCAGAATTGCATACCAGCAGGAAATTGTAACGAGATGTGGGCAGATGCAGCGCCCCGGGCTGGATGCTTACTGCTGCTGTGGCTCCAGAAACCGTCCCTCCCATCGCCGCCCCCTTCCTTCCTGCTACTGGAGACAGAACCTCACCATGGCTAGCGGGCAGCTTCTGCCTGTCCAAGGAGCGAGAGTTGGCATGCTAACACAAACTCCAGTTTCTCACAGTCTTCTCCCTCTTCATATGTTGCTCATTTATAAGAAAGTAGTTCTTTTTAAACCACTGTTCAGCCACAGTCCGAGCAGGCAGTCCCTGGAGAATGATACTTGTGCTGGAAAGGGGTGACAAATAATTACCGTACCCACCTTCAGAATCCTATAAAACGCTATTGCCTGGAGGTGAATTCTGCTATAAGAGCAGAATCTGTTTTTGAATGCCAACAACTGGTTTTAAGGAAAAGAATTTTGTTTTAATTACTTGGTAGTTCCAAATGTGGGCGCTCTACATAAAGGCCTGTTTTACAGTGGACATAATGGGCCCATCATTGATCTTTTCTTATAATTACCTAAGGCATTCTACTCAAAGTGTGATCTGAGGGTAGGTTCTACTCCACAAACTATTACCAAGCTTCAAAAAATTAAGAACAGAGCTTGAGAGTTAAGCACTGAGAATACAGTACAGCAATTTGATATTGCCCGCATGACATCTAAGCCTGTGATTGGTGTTCTCTTCCTATTGAATAAGCTGTCCGTCGGTTTGATCGGCAAACTCAAGTGGGGAGTCACATGGGGTGGGGCTCGCATACGAGTCCTATGAAGTAAGACCACATATCAGAGTGCCGGAGTTAGAAAATTAAAAGCCCTGGCCCTTCCCCATGCATGGTGTGAAAAGAACTGCTTTGAGGGAATAGCATTACGCAGCTCTCCAAGTTTTCTTGAAATGTACATTTTGTTGGATGCACTCCCATTAGTTGGTCCTACTAATTGTTGTATTAGCATCGGTGAACACTGAACTCCAAAAGCATAATTGCTCTTCACTGGTTAGTAGAAATTTATAAATAGTGTTTTAAAAATATGGCACTTGGGAGCATATGGACTCGACTCACATTTGCCCTTCTCTTCAACTATTATTACAAGCATCCACCAGTGACAGATACACTCTTGACTTCTTTCACAGAGATGCCATGAAAAATATGTGTAAAAGGAGTAGCAGATTGTAATCAGTTTCTCATTGGAGCCTCTCCTTGATTCCCATGAATCCTTCTGTCTGTTTTCATTAGTCCTATCCTAACATTTTCCAGCCCTGAACATATGGTCTTTTTGTATTTTCATGGTGAAAACTAACTGTCCTCTTAGCTGAGAGCTGACCTTTCTTACTCTTGCTAAAAAGTCTCTTTTTTAAAATAGGAAAATGTATTCGTTGATCGATCAAGAATGGCCCCGAAGACTCCCATAAAAAGTGAACCAATTGACTTATCGAAGCAAAAAATCTTCACTCCAGAAAGAAATCCCATTACTCCAGTAAAGCTTGTCGACAGACAGCAGACGGAACCGTGGACGCCCACAGCCAACCTAAAGATGCTCATCAGTGCCGCCAGCCCGGATATAAGGGATTGGGAGAAGAGAAAGGGACTGTTCAGGCCCATCGAGAACAAGGACGAAGTGTTTGCAGACCCTCTGCAGGTAAGCAGGCTCTGCTCCCAAGGGCTTTTATAGACTTTACATTTTTTACTTCATTATTAAAAAAATCATAGAATTCTCAATATTTCAGCTACTATTGAGCCAAAAGCAGTATTAAACTTAGTATCTTCTCTTATATAGCTGAAATGCAATTCTTTCATTTCTCGCAATGAATGCTTTCGTCTCTTTACGATATTCCCTTGACCATTACACATTTAAAAATAAGTTTTAAGCAATGATATTTAATAATTTTGACCTAATAAGGGAACTTGTTGTTTTTTTCCAATGCTGCCGTGGCTTTAATTTTACTCCAATTATAAGGATAACATTAGCCTAAGTATTTTTGACTTGGAAATTTTATTATTGTCATGTATGTTGAGTTTGTGGGTTTTGGGCTTCAAAGTTATCTTTAAATTACATGTCCTATGGCGAACTGGAGCTATGGAATAAGCAGCATACCTATACTTTAAAGTAAATCAGTTGTCAATAATTTTCACTCTCCCATCGGACAATTTCCCAATCTTGCTAAGAAAAGTTACCCACAGATTTTAATGTTATTTCTCTTCCATTTTTCCTCATTTTGGTGGATTTTTTTTAATCAGTAAAAATTACTAAAATAAATACATTGGGACTACAGAAGAGAAAAAGATGCCCCAAATTACAACTTGAAATTTATAGACCAGAATGAATTGAAGCTGCTTATACACTTTATTGCAGTTGTAGATCTAAGAGATTCTTTCGTGTAACTGCATTCAAATCAGATCACACATTGAGAACCACTGCCCTTGAGAAACTCCTGTATATGTTCCCAAGGAGATATAAACAAGAATATCATAGCAGTATAGTTTCAATTAGCACAATTGGGGAACCAACCCTAATCCTTATAAACAGGAAACGGATAAATAAATTGCAGTTTATTCATGCAATGCATTATCATACAGCAATGAAAATTAGAGAACTGGTGCTGCACACAAGAACCTGAATGAATCTTAGGATATACAGTAAATCTGAAAATTGTCAGTAGGTTCTGCAACTTGAAACAAAATGATGTTGAAAAAAAATTTTTTTACCATAGGCTGATATATGTAAATCAGAGTTAAGTTCCTGTAGCATCTTGTCACCATTATAACCAAACAATGTTGAACTGATGATGTTATTTGAGGTGAGAATTTGCAGTATGTTGATTGAAAAAAAGGCAAATCCCAGAAGACTAAAACCCAAACAAAATAAGCCTAAGCACTATATTATGTAGGACTATACATGTATGTGATAGAGTGATTTAAAAATGGCAAGGAAATGATAAATACAAATTCAACAGAGAGGTTACTCTGTGGGGTAGGCAAATGTAAATTAATAGTATTGTTCTGGTTTGGGAGTTGGTTGGAAGGTAGATTTGTGGGTATTAAGGACATTATATACATGATAAGTATATTTTATATGACCAGATACTCTATCAAAAAGTAATAAAGAACCAATTTTTTACAAAAGTATTCCCTCAGTAATTTTTAAGAATATAAAGGGATCCTGTGACAAAAAGTTTGAGACCCACTTACTGTTCTAGGGTATACACCAATAGCAGAATTACTAGGTTATTGGATGTTCAAATACAAGATAATGCCAAATTGTTTTCCTGAGTGCTGTTGGCTTCCACCAGTAATGATCCACATCCTCTCTGACACTTGAAATTCTCAAATTTATTAGTTTCTGCCAATCCAGTGTGTGTACAGTTGTGCATTTTTGTGGTATTCATTTGTTTTTTTCTTGGTTACTAATGAGGTTAAGCTGTCCCTGTCTTTACTGGCCACCATGTTTTTCCCTCTTCTTTCTTGAAAGACCTGTTCTTGTTCTTTCCCGATTTTTATTGATTTGTAGCATTTTTTTGTATATTTGTGAAACTAAACCTTTATCAGTTACGCGTGTTACATTTCAGTTTGGTGCCTGTCTTATCCCTTTGTGTTGCTTCTTATAATCAATTGTCCTTGTATCACTTATTCAGTTCTTCCTCTTCCCTGGAGTCAGTGCTACCTCTGTCATATGTCAAAGTTCCACTAATGTGTGCATATGTTTCTGGGCTCTTTTCTGTTCCATTGGCCAATTGACCAATACCATATTGTAGTAAGCCTTCATATCAGATAAAGCAAGAACCTCAAATTATTTTCCTTCAGAGTATGTGAGCTATGTATGCTTTGCCCTTTTCTCGTCCATATGTACTTTAGATTGGATTTTAATTGTAATTGCATTGCATGTAGATTAATTTGATAATTAACCTGTTTATGATATTGAATCTCCCATCCAAGAGTACATGTTTCTCTTAAGTTTTAAGCCTATTTAAAATCTAAGTTTTAATATTTTATGCAAATAAATATTTGCTAGATTTGTTCCTAAAAATCTTATTTTTTTGCTAATATAAATCATGTTTTTAATTCATTTTCTGTTTCTATTGTATAGTAATGCACTGACTTTAAAATAGTCTTGTCTTTTCAGCCACCTTGCTAGATTTAGATTCTCTTACTATTTTTAATAATTTGTCAGAATCTTGAGTTTTTCATGTAAACAATCATGTGTTCTGCAGAATGAACATTTTGCTTGTTTATTTCTTTCCAATTCTTGCATCTTGGTTTCTTTTTCTTGTCCTCATGCACTGGCTAGGCTCTCCAATACAATGTAGAGCAGGAGCATCCTTATTATTTTCCTGATCTTAAGAGAGTACATCCAAGGTTTTCTCTTTAAGACAGATGTTTGCAGATGGGTTTTTATGGATACACTTTATTAAAGTTGTCCATTCCTAGATTTCTGAGGGCATTTTTGAAAATCATGAATGGATGTTAAGTATGTTAAATTATTTCTTTCTGCAGCTATTGAGATAATCATATTGCTTTCCTCCTTGAGTTTATTTATTGAAAAATCTTTTGCTTTCTTGGGATTGAATTCAGCCCTTTTCCAATGTGGGTTGATGAGACAAGGACACTAGTGTTGCGTACTTGCAATAGGAAAGAATAAAGAAGAATAAGATTAGGTGCTCTTGTTCAGTTCCATCAATTTTTGGTCACTTGTAAACACAGAAAAATAGTTTAATGACACAGTGGAGGCCAGTGCACCTCAACTTCCATGTCAAGAGAAATCACCCAGGATCTTATGACAGGTCAGGTCTGGGATGAGGCCTGAGATTCTGCATATCTAACAAGCTCCTAGTGATGCTGATCTACAGTCCAACAAACACACTATCCATAAGTCTATAAATGACTGCGTTCTTCATTGTTTAAGCTTTTAATCAATAGAGTTGGCCTCAAATTGCAAAGGAGAAAAAAATTCAGTACAGAGAAGGCACTAGTCTGTAGAATGTTAAGAAAATTAGCTTAGGAAATCTATTTTAACTAGAATCTGGGATGGGATGGATTGGGATGTCCTCCCAACTTGCCAGTACTGCCCATTGCAGTTTGTCCTTTAGGATGTTACCTGTGACATCTCTCCCCTCCCTTCTGTCTGCCCTCTGTAGCTTCATGTTGTTGGGAACAGTGCTGTGGACAAATTTGAAAAGCGAAGAACAAGCAGAAAACAGAAAAGTTTAGGACTCCTGTGCCAGAAGTTTCTAGCTCGCTATCCAAGTTACCCCTTGTCAACTGAGAAAACTACCATCTCCCTAGATGAAGTTGCTGTCAGTCTTGGTATGTATGATCGGTTACCTGGAGGCCTGTCTCCGGCTATAGTGGGAAGCTGGCTGCCTCCGGCAGGCTTTAGGCCCCAGGGTGCGTCTTTTATTAAGTAAGGAGTGGGCCTTCTGAAAGAGTGAGGGCAGAGGAGCTGGTAGAGCTTCCATCTGCCGCTGTCGTGATGCGTCGGATTGCAGGGAGCCTTCTGGGCCAGAGGGTCAAACAAAAATTTGGTTTTCTTAATCTTCAAAAATACTTTCACAAGACTCACCTTACAAAGTAATACCTTACATTTTAATTTCATCTTATTTCAGACAGACTGAAAAAATTTTTGAAATATCCTGCTGTTTATTTTTTATAATGTTTCTAAGGATTCAGAACTGGTGTTAGCTCTACTATAAAGCAAGAGCACTGTGTCTGAAGTCCTGTGCTGTGATATGCACAGCAAGCCTGCCAAACTGGAAAAAGCACATCGGGATATAACTCAAACAGCCAATACATGTAACAAAGAGGAACACTTGTGCTCACATGGATGGGTGTGTATAATGCACAGTGGTGTATGTTCTGTAAATATGTACAACAGCTTCTGAATAGAGACCTCTAGTGGACGTGGACTGTAGCTGGTTTATGGACGAACATGTTGACAATCATTAAATAAGCAGAAATCACAGAGATTTGAACGTGTGGAGTGTCTCCTTAAAAAATGAGCCTTTCCAAACAGGTTTTGTACACATAATTTTCATAGGTTATATTTTTAGTTTGTTTATTAGTTCTATTTCTTCCCACAGCCCAGAGAAATCTGTGCTAATTGGTGATTGTCAGTCTAAATTATTCAAACTGATGGCTAAAAAGATTGTATTTGCTAAAAACTGAAATAACTGGGAGGCAGTGGGTTGTGCTTGATAAACCAAGGTCTGGGCATTGGATCAGACCGGGGTGGGTTTGAAGCCCAACACTCCAACTTACAGGCTATGAAAGCTTTAAAAACTTAATTAATCTTTTCTCATGGGGATCATAGCACTACCTGGCAGAAACTTAGCAAAACTGGGATAATGTCAGTAACATGCCTAACTCGGGGCCTGGCATGAGTGACTCATACTGGTACATGGAAGTTTCACTCAGCTCTTACTAGATGTAGCCCCCGCCTCCCTAAGCTGTCCTTTCGACCTCCGCAATTAGGAAGAGGAAGGAGAGTGCTTTGATTGGGGACCATTTTGCAACCCAGAAATAGAACACAGTATGTGGCTCTGATGGCAGTGTGACAAGAAGGAGAAAGCTACCCAGCTAGAGAGAGGCTTGGTGTGGATCCATTTGAGGCACAGCATCCTAGAAACCAGTCTTAGAGAGGATGAGGTTAAAACAAATCATAGTGTCCTTATCATCCGGGCTCCTGAAACCAGGACCTTGCATGAATGTCAGTGCAGAAGACAAGCTGTTAGATGTCGGAAGGCCGTGTTCCAGTGCCGGAAAGTGGGCTCCTGCTCATGGGCTGCAGGTCATTCTGCGGATCCCCATGTCCTGAGCACCAGGAACAGAACTCCAGAGATTCTACAAGAGCTTCTTAAGGCCTCACCTCACCCAGACCTGCACAATGAACTCACCATCTCCCTTCATGTGAGGTTGAAAAATGAGCTCCCTTCTTGGAAGACTGATGCCTGTCTCTTTGGATTGAGTCTGAACTCCCTGCTACATCCCAGGTTGCAAGTCATAAGGCCATATTTTAACCAAATGTGCAGGGCATTCGAACTGCACACTTTCTCAGATTCTGGTCCCATGTAATAGATTTGACATGGATATTTTAGGTAAGAAGTTAAAGAACTGGGAGTGACTTTAGTAAATGGAAAATAGTCCTGCCTAAGAAACTATCATATAGGGCTGAGAGATGTTCTTGATCAGCCCCATCAGGGACAAAAGGAAGCCTGGTAAAAATCGGTAAATCCGTGCAGGCATAACTAATGCCATGAATAGGATTAATAGGATTGCCTTGATATAGAAGGCAAAGAAGGCTGAGTGCCAGAGAAAACTTCCCTGGCAGAGCAAGGCCCAGAGTAGCTTGCACGTCTTGAGCCGTATGAAATGAGATTTTTCAGTGCACCAGCCAGAGGACCGTTAAACTCAGTCCAGAGAGAAAAAGGTGAATGATTATGCAGGCAAGCAGCTGCACATGCTTTTACCGGCATCACCTACTAAACACCTACCGTGCACATTAAATATCATCTTACTCTCCGGGTGGTCAGAACCTTCCCTAATTTTCCCTTCTTGGGTTGTCTAGCCACTAGATGGAGACGTAACAGCTTCTATCTAACACAAAAGAGCAAAACAGCCCAGCATATGGCTGGCCCTGGGGTGTCTCGGTTGCGTTCACATGACATTTCTAATGGGAAGGTTTATAGAATGTTACACACTCAACAAGATGTGTTAATATATGAGAACAGACTGGAATGAGGAACCAGACTGGTCGGGACAAGATTCTGCTTCTGCCCCTGCCACCGCCTCCCAGTAGACATCTGGCACGGAAGCTGGTGCCTCTGAGGGTAAAGAGCCTTTCAGGGTCATGAGCTGAAATGTCCTGATTGACTGTGAAGTGCCTCTTCATGCACGTGATAGAACTTCCTCTCAGCTCCCGAGTTCGCATTATAATTTGGTCTATTTCTCCTGTTAAATTTTCAAAGGGCCAAAAGCTACATTCGCAGAGTCTGCCCTGATTATATAGCAGCTCCTGGCAAGTGAACAGAAAGAGGGCTGGTTTTCTAGGCGATGCCTGGAGCCTCTGTTACGGATTCTTAGACAAGAGCAAAGGAGGCTGGTGCGTTCCAAGAGCCCAAGGCCTGTTGCTCAACAGTATGAGTCACAGGCAGGAGACTTTTAAAATCTGTTTCTACTAATCCTCTTAGGCTAAAAGGGATCTTACGGATCCCCAGTGCTGTGCAGAAGTAGTTGCAAAATAATACATAAAGTGAACATCTATTGGAGACCCTTTAGGTTTGTGGTTGCATTTAATCCTTGTCATTTTAGGAGATAAATACTAAGGCACATAAGGTTAATTAACTTCCCAGGATCACCTGGTTGGTAAGGGACAGCACAGGGATTCAAATCCAGGCAGTCTGACCCCAAAGTCCCCACACTAACCACCATAAATATTTTTGGTAAATTGAATCGAGAGCTCATAATCCTAGCCATTTGGGGAGTGTTGGGCAAGGGGGTAGGGAATTGATGAACTTGATGGTCCATCTGTACTGTACATGAAGTCTGTTTCACCATTGGGCTGCTGGGCGGGATACGGTGAAAGAGAGCACAGGGAGAGTTGTTAATAGCCGTGACAAACCAAAGGATCCTTGCACGTTCCAGCCCTGGCTGTACCTTCCTGCATCAACTTGAGAAAGGTGCCCGAGCTCTTGACTCCTGAGTTTCCAATGTAAAGAACACACAACATTTACCATGTTTTCCTTACTGGACCATTAAGAGATTTAACAAGATAGTTCTTCCACTTCATTCAAATTCCAGGAAAGGATAGTATTGTCCAAACAAGGTATCAGTTCTTAGACACATTTTATAGTCTGCATAATTAGGAATATAAGTCAAAATCAACCATCCAGCATTCGTCAAGTCTCCATTGGGCATACCAGCACTTGTGTTGCGCAGTCTTACCCATTTTAACAGGCTGAAGTGTTTGTGTGGCTTGTCTACCAGGTCTAAGGACGTACTGCTGTATGTAATCCAGATGGGGCATCATCCAGCTCTAGGTGCACATTTTATCCTAGAGCTTAACTGGGGATTGGACCTCAAGAAAAGGAAAGAAAAACATTTCTGTTACTTGCATCCATATGGGATGAATTTGGGGTGCATCCACACTTGCTGGGCATTCCGCTGGGCATCGTGCAACGTAGTTCACAGTCATGGTCCAGGCTTTGAAAGAATTTATACTCAAAAATGTCTGCATGATGATGGCTGGCTTCTGTTTTTCAAACAGGCGTTGAACGGAGACGCATCTATGACATTGTAAATGTACTGGAGTCACTGCATCTAGTCAGCCGGGTGGCTAAGAATCAGTATGGCTGGCATGGGCGGCACAGCCTGCCAAAAACCCTGAGGAACCTCCAGAGACTGGGAGAGGAGCAGAAATATGAGGAGCAGATGGCATACCTCCAGCAGAAAGAGCTAGACCTGATGGATTTTAAATTTGGAGAACGTAAAAAAGATGGCTACCCAGACCCCCAAGACCAGCAGTTACTGGATTTCTCTGAGCCCGACTATCCCTCTTGTGAGTTCGTTGTAACCAGTGAGTCATGGCAGAGAGACAGCGATGGTCTCTTCTGAAGAGATTCACTGCTGAGGTGGAAGTGCCAGATTGACTTCCTAGAGGGAGGCTTCCTCTCATTCCCTCTCCCGAAGAAAGGGAGACAGATGGCTCCCCGCCTGGGTTGCCCACTCAACCTCACTGAAAACCTGTCTAGCGGCCGGTCACTTGGTATTTGGTGTTTGGACCGTAGATCACTAACAGCTCCCATTTCAGGTTGACAGCCCCGTGCTGATTTCTGTTCGTGAGCCTTTAAGGAAAATTTACTTTGAAAGAAGCTGTCGTTACATGAATTTAATTTTTCAAATTATATATTGGGGCAGATTACTTAGAAAAGAACCCCATTAGCAGAAAGTGTTAATTAGAAAGATAAGACAACCCCTGCTTTCATGGAAGCAGAATTTTTTTCACTTGCATCTGCATTGTTCTTCCCCTGCAGGCTCATTTATCCTCCTCCTGTTTTAATGGTTGATCTTCATCATTCTTGCCCTATTCCTCCCCCTTCCCCCGCCCCTGCCTGTGCTAAGATGATAAAGTGCAAGTATCACTCACATTTCACTTGCAAATTTAGGAAATATGAATGGAAAGGTGGGCCTGGTTTTCATTCAATTTACTGCCTCATGCCTCTTAGTTCCACCCCCTGAGCCAGTTCTCAGTAACCAGAGGAGACAGCCATCTGTTGGGGATGGTTCGCCTGCCATCCACAGCAACGCGCATCTCATCGGTGTCTCCTACTTGGTTATAGTTTATTTCTTCGCCTATTTTTGAAAAGAAATGAAAGCAGTGAGCACCTACCGTATTTAGAGTATATTCTAGATGCAGACATCTCAGAGCTAGTGTGGGTTGGGTTCCAGACCACCGCAATAAAGCGGGCTGTAATCTTTGCTGGTGGAGAGTCCTTGCCTACAGTTTGTAAAGAAAAAAAAATGCAATGTCTGTGAAGCACAATAAAGAGAAGGTGCAATAAAACGAGGTCCGCCTGTACTGTGGGCACAGAGAAATGAAAGTGGAGCCCTTGCCTTTGAGGGGAGAGTTGATGTTCTGAAAACAATTCCTTGCCCTCACCCTACCTTTTCTCCTTCCTGGCAAAAAGCTGCTTTGGGAAAACTACCTCATGGATTCTATTCCATGAAGGATGAGTTTAAAGCGTTAAAAGTGGTTTAACATACTCATTTCAGGGAATATGCCTGCTAAACTTTTATGAACAACAAGAAAATCTGTCTTTTTTCTTTATGGGCGATCTTTTGTGACGTATGTCCAGAAGCCTTCTCTCTGCAGCAAAAGTGATCTTTCCATCTACTAGCAGAGTTAGATAGTTCTGGCAAACTATAAGTACAGTCTTGCTTGCGGTAAGTTATCTGTTTTGATGCCTTTGTTTTGCTCGTTTTGTAGCATCTGCAAACAGAAAAGACAAGTCTCTGAGAATCATGAGCCAGAAGTTTGTCATGTTGTTCCTCGTCTCTAAAACCAAGATTGTTACTCTTGATGTGGCTGCCAAAATACTGATAGAAGAAAGCCAGGACACGCCAGACCACAGTAAATTTAAAAGTAAGCATCTTCACCTAAATCCACCTAGTACAAAAAAGGCTGGGACTTCATAGGTTGATGTTTTCTGCCTCTGAAAGTACAAGAATTATTTTTTTTGGAGAAGTGCATTCCTCCCTGCATTCAAAGGTTCTTGGTGCTCTGAGAGGTAAGTTAGTCACATACTAGAATAATCCCCACGGAAGTTCTGTCAGCTGCCTTTTCCTCTGCAGTCCGTGCAGACAGTGGAAGCAGAACACCACCCCACCCAGGCAGGCCAGGGAGGGTGCACGGTGCTTTGCGTTTCTCTTTAGTATTGCTGCATCCAAGACAGAATGTCTGAGTTTTGTTTCCCCTTTTTTCCTCGCACCCCGCTCACTCTTCTGATGGGTGGAGATGAAAGTTGTCTGCAGGTAAGAACCAGAGGAATGGACAGGGAAGGGGAGGGGTGGTGGGACACGGCTTCCGGCCAGGAGAGTCTTTCCGCGTTTCCCGTTCAGTGCGTCTTCCTCTCCGTCACGCAGTCGTCCTGAGCCAAGATGCCCTTGGTTGCTGGTTACCTTTTCAGCCCTGGAAAGCCATGAGCTCAACATACTCTGGCTTTTTGTTTGTTTCCGACTGGAATTTTAGCCCCACTGTGGGAGAAATGACGAAGTAAAATCTAGCTCTACCACGATCGGGAAGTGAATTCCATCTGGGATGAATGCTTGATGTTTCTAGGTGATACTCAAAGCTCCTTTGCTTGACCTTAGCCCTGAAGTCAAGTAGGTTTCCTACCTGCAAATCGATTTCTTAAAAAGAAATTACTTTGTGGGCATCATCCTGCCTGTATAATTTGTTACCACCCCTTCTGAATTTCTCCCATAGTGCATGCATTTTCAAAGGTGTCTCCCAAAACCTCTTAAGACTCAGGGATTATACATTCCACCCCTCCCCCACTGCGTGACCAGAAGGCCAGGATTTGAGGTGAGGAACTGCCTGTCTTCCGCACAGTTGTACCGCATAACCTTGAGTCCTGAATGCCTTATGTACTCAGACTGCTGCCTTGCAGGAAGCTCTGGGGAATCCTTGTCATTTTCACAGCCCAGCTGCCTGGTTGGAGCTCCTGCTGGGAGAAATTTGGGGCAAGCTTTTGACATGCCACATATCAGAATTACATTTACTAAGCCTCTAATTACAGCCTACTTCCCTCCCTCAGGGGTGTTTGCAATCGTGGCACTCCCTGCTTGTCTTGTACAGGTGTGAAGCTGTGGAAATGGAAGGACACGCTGACCTTAGTATGTGTCTCAGATACATAAACCCTGGGTGATTGCATGACATAGCCATTGGTCAGTTCATCTCACCCGACTGCCTTCCCCCTGAGGTTTATATGGCGCTCGAGGAAAGTGACCTGTCACATAAACTAAAATGTAGTGGTGTCACAGGCAGCGGAACCGTAATTGTGTTTTATATCTTCAAGCAAAGGTACGACGCCTCTATGACATAGCCAATGTCCTGACCAGCTTGGCTCTGATCAAGAAAGTGCACGTGACAGAAGAGCGAGGCCGCAAACCAGCCTTCAAGTGGATCGGGCCTGTGGACTTCAGTTCCAGCGGTGAGGCATGGTTTTGTTAGGGATCTACTTTATTTATAATCCCCAATTCCTTTTTAAAACCGTCTACTACAGAGTGAGATTGATCTTCTCCTTCGCTTTCCATTACCCAAGTCACATTCAGAACTATACTGGGGATGTCACTCTTGGAACAATGAGTGTTAGTCTGCAAACAGGGTTTGCTGGTTGGCTGACACAGGAGGAAGGGGACACTGAGAGCTTAAAATGTGGGAGTTTCTGCAACTGGTAAATTACAGCTAAAGAGCTAAAATACAATGAAATTAGGGTTTTTTGTTTTTTTCTTGGAAGTTTGGAACTAAGGATTAAAAATAACACAGACTCGGGTTATATCTACATTAGTGGAATAAAATATTGAAATTTCAGATAATGTAAAAATTAAATCAATTACTGTCACAAAACTAATATGTGGTTAAATGGCTTCTAAATATAGTATGGATGTAATGAACACCTTTTTTTGTAATGTACTGAAAAGATTGCAAATGCCGTAATTTTACTAAACTTGAACAAAAAAGTATTATCTTCTACCTATTTCACAGGTAATACCTGAGCAATTGGGGACTGGATCCTACTGTACCAGCCACTTTACATCTAATAAGGCTGCCTGGAAAAAAGCCATTAAAGTTATTTTTAAATTACCCTTCCAATTTCGGTGTTAGTGGTATAAATTCCTGCCACTTAACCCAGGCTTATAGAAGATAGAGTTCTCGGCTTCATTGTAACACATTATTCACTTAGGATCTAAATGAAACCACTTAACATCTAGCATAGCTAACTCAGCCCAGCAAGTACTTACAGAAGGTGGACTGTGCGCGATTACTATACCAAGCGGCGGGAGAGATTCAAAGATACATGTGACACAGTCCCTGCCCACATGAAATACACAACTTTGCCATTTTCTACGCCTCTGCCTTTGGCTTCTCTTAATCCTTTCCCCTCTAAAGCTGTCTTTTTTGACACGAAAATATTCTATTCAGCTTTTTAAGATATGTCGCAAATGTCAGCTCTTCTGTAAAACTTTCCCTGATCACCCAGAGCAAAGAGTTTCTCATCTGAGCTCTTGCAGCTTAGCATTGTGCTGTTGTACTTGGTGATGTTGATGTCGTACTATTGTCCCTGCTCTATGCGTTTGAGGGCAGAAGAGGTCTTTGTTCACTTTTGATTACCTATAGTGCCCAGACCAGTGCCCTACTCACTTTAGTTGGTTAATGAGCTTCTATTAAAGGTGAATAATTAGCACGCATTGGAAAATTAGAAAACAGTTAAGTACGACACATGGTGGTAGTGACTCTGTAAGAAATCAGAGAGGATATGGGTTAAGTTCTGCGGGACTGTTAGGTTTTGGAGGGATGGAGAGCTTTTTAGCTGAAGGAACTGATATCTAAGAACAAATCTAGTTTGTGTTTGGGAGATCAGCCATCCTAATTTAAATGGAGGGCTTAGGGTACAGAATGAGAAACGAAATGTAATCAGATGGAACAACATTTTTGGAGGACCTCAAAAGTTAAGCCAAGAGATTTGTAGTAGATGTAATAGACTGAAGTGACAAGGGGTCTTTAGACAGAGAGATTAAAAGACTAGGGACTGGAAGGTGGCGGTTATCATTGCAGAAAATGAGATAGTTGGGGAAGGAACTGGAGCTGAGAAATTGAGTGCATGTATTTGCATACCCAGAGAAACAGTAACTGGGAGAGCTCTGATCTGAGGAGGGAAAGAGGGCTTGGAACCAAATCAGGAACCTCAAAGTGAACTTACCTACCCTTCAGAAGTGTGATCCTCTTTCTGTATTCCTTAGTGTCTACTGACAGCACCATCAGCATCACCCCAGCGATCGAATTTGGAACGCCAAGTTGCCTTTGATTCCTTAATTCACTTCTCCTTCACTCCTTCATTAGTTAGCAATTTCTCACAGTAAAACTCTATAGATATCTCTTTCCTCTTCTCCACTTCCTCTATCATGGCCTTTCTTTTAATAGCTTTATTGAAGTATCATGACATAAATAGATGGCATGTGGTTAAAGTTATAATTTGATAAGTTTTGCATTGTATGCACCTGTGAAATCACCACCACAGTCGAAATGATGAACCCATCACCCTCCAGAGTCTCCTCCTGCCCTTCCATAGGCCCTTCCTCCCCGCCCCCGCCCCCATCCCTGGCGGGGAACCACTGGTCTGCTCTTTCACTCTAGATTTATTTGTAGTTTCTAAAAAAATGTTATCAGTGAGCCACATATAGTTGATGTTCATTATTCACGGATTCCATATTTGCAAGTTCACCTAACTAAGATTTATTTGTAACTCCAAAATTGATACTTGCAGCATTTTCTCACTTGTTCACAGACATGAAAATAATGGTGAGAAATGTGAGTTGTCAACACACATTTCCAACTGAGGTCAAACAAGGCAGTGCTCTGCCTCGTTTCAGCTCTCCTACTACAAATGAGTGTCCTTCTAGTGGTCTTTTTAATGATGTTTTCACATTTGTGTGCTTTGAGTTGGTGATTTCACTGCTTAAAATGGTTCCCAAGTATTGTGCTGAATGAAGCATTGTCTAGTGTTTTTAAGTGATAGACTTTACAGAAAAAATACATACAGTTAGTATGTAGTATGTAGCGCAGTTAGAGGAGCTTCATTTGGACAGGAGCTCTAGTGCTGTTGGCTGTGAGTTCAGGGCTGATGGACCAACAATATATATTAAGGTGTCTTTGAACAGAAACACATAAAACAGTGTTACTTATTGATAAGTTGACCAAAATGTTGTGACCAGAGGCTCGCGGAAACCTGACCCCGTATTTCCTCTAGGAGCATTGGTTCAGTGTTTGCTAATTCAGTGTTCATGCTGACTTCATAGAATATAACAACCACAAATAACAAGAATAGACTGTACTCTGTATACTCTTTATCATGCTTCTTTCACTCAGCATAATTATTTTGAGATTAATCGTGTTGTAGGCAAGTACCAATAGTTTATTCCTTTTATTGCTGAGGAGTATTCCATTGTATGGATATGCCATTCTTTACTTATTGATGAACATTTGGATTATTTCCAATTTTTGGCTATTACAAATAAAGCTGCAGCGAATATTCATGTACATGTCTTTGTGGTAGATATGGGCCTGCAGTTCCCTATTTGAGAAGGTTTTTAACAACAGGCTCAGTTTCTTTAATAGCTGTAGGGATATTCAGGTTTTCTCTTTATTGTTGTAGTTCCTTTCTTCTGCTTTGAGTTCCATTTGTTCTTTTTCTAGTTTCTTAAGGTAGAAGTGGAGGTCATTAATTAGAGACCTTGTGTCTTTTCTAATAGCTATTTAGTGCTGTAAATTTCCCTCATTATCTCTATACCGCAGTTTCTTTGAATATTTTTTGTCCCCTCCTCTCTTGTCCTTTCGAGTCCCCAGTTGTACTTTTATTTGGCTGCGTGAAGTTGTCCCACAGTTCACTGATGTTTTGTTCATTTATTTCCCTCTCTTTTCTCTCTGTGTTTCATTTTGGATGGTTTCTTTTGCTATGTCTTCAAGTTCACCATTTTTTCCTGCAACATCTAATCTTCCATTAATCCCACTCACTGTTATTTTCATTTTCAGTATGGTTATTTTTATCACTCGAAGTTTGGCTTGGGCCAAGATTGTCAATGTGCAGTCTCTCCTTTACTTAACCTATTCAGTCTTTTCTCCAACTTCTTGAATTTATGGCATACAGTTATAATAACTGTTTCAATGTGCCTATCTACTAATTTGATCATCTGTGTCACTTACCAGTTCATTTTAATTGCTATTTTATCATCACTGTGGGTTATATTTCCTTGCTTCTTTGTGTACCTGGTAACTTTTAATTATATGCCAGACACTGAGAATTATATATTGTTAAGTGCTGGATAGTTCTGTATCTTTAAAAATGTTCTCTGTTCTGTGATATAGTAAAGTTACTTAAACAGTGGTCCTTTCAGATCTTGCTTTTAAGCTTTGGTAGGCAGGATCCTAACAGCATTTAGTGATAAGGACACACAGTCCCCGCTATTGAAACAACATACTTTTTAATATTCTAACCAGCGATCCATGAATTATGAGATTTTTCTGCTCTGGCTATTGGCAACAAGCAATTGCCAGCCCCGTAGGAGCTGCAGGCACTATTCCTGCTGTTCCTTTTCGGGGTTCCTTCCCCGCCAGCCTTGGGTAGTTTTCTGACTGGTGTGAGTACTCCTCTGCACACTCGTGGGGCACCTGCTGCCACCTTCCCTGTGGCTCTCCTCTCCAATATTTTACCAAACAGACCCTATCTGCCTTGGCTGCCCTGGCTTCCCAGCTCCATCCTCATTGGGGAGACTTCCAGGCTCTCTCTAGGTCCCCGGCTCTGCACCCGAGCCTGGAGACATTCTCCAGGCAGTAAACTGAGGCACTCACAGAGCTCATCTCACTCGATTCCTATCTCTAAAGGATCATTGTCTTTCATGTCCTGATGTTCAAAGTCTTGAGAGCCATTGTTTTATATATTTGGTCCAATGCTTTGTTTCAGGAAGGAGGGGAACTATGATCCCTGTTACTGTCTTGACCCATTTTCTTGGTTTTGCTTCTGTCATTTCTGATTTTCTAAAAAGAAAATTTATTGGGTTTTTGTTATAAAAACTAGAAAGCCATAAAGATGGTTCTATTTTTCAATTTTTGTGTGTTTTAGAGAATGTAAGTGTAGCTGGACCTTTTGGTTTATTTAATCGGTCTTATTAAAACACATGCTTTGAGCTTAAAAAAAATAGCACAGATGAACAGGGTAGAAATAACCATCTGAGCAACAGGGACCACTTCTGCATAGAAATATTGGCCTGGCTCTATGTAGAAATTCTGTCTTGACTTCATATAGGCTCCTTTAAGCATAAAATGGGCCTCTAGGGCCCAGCCTTTTATTATCCTTACTGTTCTGCAGCACTTCAGCCATGAGGTTTCTGCTGACCTTATTCCTTTGGTCACTTAGTAACGGAGCCTCCTACTGCCTAAGAAAGAAATAATAAAGCAATAGAAAATAGAAATTCTTATATTCATTGCCCTAGAGATTTGGCATGAGAGGCTGATTTCAATTAATGTTAAAATCTCAAAATTCACATGTTGGGCTGAGTATAGCCAGGTTTTCCTTTGATACTCTCTGCCCAGTAAAAGTACAGGAAATGTCAGGTCCATTTTAATTTGGGGTAAAGAACTTCTTGCTCTACTTTTGGTGTAGTTTAGATAATTTTAGAATATGTATGGATTCATTCTCACTTTATAATCATCCACTAACTAAAAAAAAATTCTATATCGAAAGAAATTGGGGTTTGAGACAATGCTCATAAAATTCCTTTGAGTGTCTTAGTTTTTAATTTATAGGGTAGTTCCATTACAATTATAGGCTCTCAAAGCCATATCTTAAAAAGGGTAAAATTATCCTGAATAACTATCCTGTATAACAACACTACCAAATCTCTCATTTTTCTAGATGAAGAACTAGTGGATGTTTCTGCATCTGTCTTACCAGAAATGAAAAGAGAAACATATAGCCAAATTCAAGTCTGTGCAAAACAGAAGCTGTCTCGTCATGGTTCTTTTAACACAGTTCAGGCTTCTGAGCAGATTCACAGGAGAGCGAACTCCGAACCCAGCAGCCCTGCCAGAGAAGAACAAGGTATCTGCCTTTATTAGTTTATGGAATTGTCAGTCCCATGTAATTGCAGCCTTTCCTGAGCACTGGCACTTTAAACTGAGCGACTCTGTAGGTCCTGCCTATTTTTTCACTTAGCTGAAGTGAAACAGTTATTGGGGGGTAAGAATCAGTGACCTCACAGGGTATGAGCATGGCCCCGTTCCCTGAAATGGATCCTAGTCAGCCTTGATGATCAATTAGCTTGCCACCTTTGGTAAGCCTGTTTGGTGCATCTCAAAAATTCATCCAACTTACAAAGCAACACTTGTATTTTCTGTTACTAATTCATAGTGAGACCTGAATTTACCATTAACAGCTAGCTTCTAAAAATTTCTCTCTTTGAATCAAAACCAGAATGGATTTGAGATAGTCTTACAATCCCTGCACTGTGAATAATGAGTCCTGCTGTATATAATTGTTATGTATAAGTCTCGGGCTATATTTGTTAGACCTTCATTTTTCTTCATAGGATCAGGCAGCTTCTCCTTAGAAATTGGAAGTCTGGCAGCTGTTTACCGACAGAAAATAGAAGACAGTTCACAGTAAGTAGTCTTTACACTCTGGGTGTATTCTTTTCTATTTCCAAATGTTAACTTTGACTAAATTGAAATGCCACCCATCAAAAGGTAAATTTTAGCAATCTTACTTATAAGTCAGCCATTTGTTTATTAAAAATTTTGTACATCTTCCCTGTAAACCACTGTGCATGATGTAGCATCATGGCCACAGAAGTACAAAAAAATTATCCCCTAAGCTCTGAAAACTTATAAGGAAAAGTTTTTTAAAAAAACACTGAAAAAAGACCTATCACTACTAGTGTGACACTAAGAAGTAATGCATCACAGTCCCATGAGTCACTTTGTCATCACTGTAACCACTGGGACTACCAGGTACTGTTCTAAAAGTTCGATGTGTATTAACTCATCTAATCATAAAAAAGTCTTTTGAGGTTGGTACTGTGATCCCCATTTTACAGAAATCACATATTATCAGAGGGAGCAGAGGAAATGCCAAAGGAAGGAAGAAGAGAAGTTTTTAATGACAGATGTGGGAAGAAACAGACCCTGAGGCAGCCAGGAAGTAGGGGGACAATAAGTGGATTAGTGACGATGATCCATCCGAATAGGATAGTAGAGCATTTGCCGTCGTTCTGGTCTGCAGTGCAGGCCTGAGCCAGGTCAGCTGGAGGTGGCAATCCGTGCAAGACAGTGGGTCAGCAAGACCTACCAGAGTAGAAAGAGGCATCATGAAGAACCCCGTCTCAGGTGGTGATGATAATGCTGGGGATGGCGAGGTTGAAGGTGGATGGCTGGAGGTGGGTTGGTGGGTGATATACTCAGTGTGGACGCGCTGCGTTTCACAGAGCTGAACAGTGGCAATTACTAGTTCGGAGGGGACTGTGGCTGGAGAGATTTACTCATCGCTACAGCCCAGTGCACTCCATTTTATTCCTAGCAGCACCGTGGACAGTGAGACTGAGAGCAATATAAGGTCTCAGCAGTTCCATCGGAAAGGTAGCGAGAAATCCCTGTCCTCTGTTGACTAGTTCCTAAAGGAGTCATAAAAGGGTTTCCCTCTTCTATTTCCAAAAACATACTGAGCATATACACATTTTTTTAATATATGGAATTTTTTTGGTATAAAAGGTCATTGTTTATAATCTCTCATACTTATAGGCTTTAATTTTTAATGTATGTTGGCTGAAAATTCTATTGTAATACTGAGAAGAATGGGACAAGAATGACAGAAAATAGTAATTTTGTAGATAAGTTCATTTTCTCACTCATGCCCACTTCATTTATCTTGCAGTGGATTTGAGACAAACAAAATATGTCCTTTAATCAGTCTGGTCCCGTCTCACTGCACCCAGGATCTCTCACCGTGACCAAGTGAGGCCCCGCGGGTGACCTTCAGCAGGTTGCTTAGCCTCTGACCCTCAGTTTTGCTCCCTAGGAAACTGGGGGGAATGACAGTGACTATCAATATTATAATAATTATGTAAATTATGATATTATGTGAAATATCATAGTATCTGTGTGCATGGTAAGGGATATGTGCTGGGTAACTGATAACTATTAGATGTGGAAGAGGCAGGTGAGGAGCAGTATTAGCTCAAACCTGAGGTCCTCCCAGAGTAACCCCCAGTTCAGCTCCCCCATCCCTAACCGCGTCCATCCTGGTTGTATCTGGTCATCTGCCTCTGCATAAGTTAGCTAATGTATGTTCAGGGAATACACTTTACAGTAACTCAGTGGTTGCATTTGTGTTTCTTTTTTAACAGGAGGAAAGCTTTTGACAGTAAGAAAGTGATGCCTCCTTCAAGCAGCCTGGACCCCCTTGCTCCTTTCCCTGTCCGCTCTGTGGACTCAGAATACTGTGTTAATTCTTTAGCCCACCAGGTATTTTCTGCACCTCAAACGGACTTGCATGCCTTCTCCATGCATAATGGCCTGAATAAACAAGCGGGTGTCTCACGTGCTCCTGCGGCCTTAGATGTGGAGGGCCTGAAGCCAGCCTTGCTAGCAGGCCAGCCCTTGCTGTATGTGCCCTCAACCTCTCTGTTCATGCTGTATGGGAGCCTGCAGGAAGGGCCGTCTCCGGCGCCAGGGTCAGAGAGGGACAGCAGCAGCTCAGACGTCTCCGCGGCAGCAGAGCTGTCTTCTACACCCGCAGCACAGAAGCGCCTCGGTGAGGACAGAGAGCCTGAGGAGGAGGGGGAGCCGGCCACTAAAAGACAAAGTATGGACTATGAAGTTGGCCCTCTCTCTCTTGTAATGCCCAAGGTAAGGGGGTACAGGTGGACATGTTTAGTGCCCTCCTGTTAACCAAGAGCTTCCTTCTAATAAGGACACACATATTAACAAGCTGTTGAGTCTGGAATATGAGGTATTGCATGTGTCACTTGTGCCATTAAGCCCCTGAACCAGCTTTCCCAGAAAATCTTGCGTAAAGTCGTACTATAAGAGAAATGATTTTTATAAAAGTCACATTTTGTATAAAATGATAAAAACTTTAAAGAAATAAAACCTACCATATGCCACCACATAGAGGCGATCCCTATTAACACATTTGTATATTTCCTAACAGTCTTTCTGCTGTACTTCTGTTATAAATACGTTGAGGTCACTGAAATAATCCAGGGTGCATCTGAGTTCCAGAGCCCGGAACGTCGATGCTATTTGACTTTCAGAGCATGCGCCTAGTCTCTTATCATCTCTGCTCAGAGATCCTGTTTCCTTAGCCGCAAAATGAAAAGAACCAAAATATGCGCTGTCTCTATCTCCCATGTAGGAGCCACTCAATGGCTGATGAGACGTGACCAGCGAAACTGTGAGAGCAGAAGCGCTGCCGTCACAGCAGTTCCCAGGGGGTCAGCGGGGCACCCTTCATGGCAATCAGTTCATTCATTAGGACCCTTTTCCCTATTCCTTTCTCTTGCCAGAGTGAATTTTCCTAAGTTTGTTGCTCGGGTTGCAGAAGGGAAATGAAAGACTGCCTGGTAAATGCCTTAGATTAGTGGTCCCCAACCTTTTTGGCACCAGGGACTAGGCACAGCGACTGGTTTCGTGGAAGACAATCTTCCCACGGACCGAGGGTGGAGGGGGTGGCTTTGTAGCCTGCCACCAGATGCACCTTGTCACTTGCCACTTACAGATAGGGTTTTGACATGAGTGTACAAACAGTTGATTTACTATGGTCTCCATGCAGCCACACCGTCTGCTAATGATAATCTGTTTTTGCCGCTGCTCCCCAGCAGTAGCATCACCACCTCAGCTCCTCCTAGATCATCAGGCATTAGATTCCCATAAGGAGCACTCACCCGAGATCCTCGTGTGTATAGTTCACAGTAGGGTTCGAGCTCCTATGAGAATCTAATGCCACCATTGATCTGACAGGAAGCGGAGCTCAGGCTGTAAAGTGAGCGATGAGGAGCAGCTGTAACTACAGATGAAGCTTTGCTTGCTCACCTGCCACTCACCTTCTGCTGTGCAGCCTGGTTCCTAACAGGCCACGGACCGGTACCAGATTGTGGCCGCAGGGTTGGGGATAACCAGGACAATAACCAAGATAGCTTTGGGCCTCCCCACAATTCTCATCAGGCCCCTGAACGACTGGTATCAACACTCTGTGTTAGCAGCTCAGAAATTTATTTCACAGTCTGAACACCGTGGCCAGTTTTCCATTATTAAATCTCCATTTCTATGCTTGAGACATGACACTGATTTTCAGACCAATCCTATAAATATGACGGCAAAAACTGACGTACACAAATCACTGTGGTTCACAGCTATGTTTGACCTTTTTGTTTGTATGTTAACTACATTGATAAAGCTGTTACTAAGATTTGCTACTGGGATTTTGACTTGCTTTTCTGGTTCCTGGTTTGGTTGTGCTTAGAAACCCCCAGACTCCACAGACTTTGCCTCTCCCAAGACGCTGAGTAACAGGGGACCTGTGCCCCTCGAAGACATGCACTTGAATAGCCAACTCCCTGCTGTGAAGGAAGTTTGGGGAAAGGCTACAGCAAACAACTTCGTTTCTTCAGAGTGGGGAAATCTTTCAAGAAATACAGAGATGGAAAAGCCTTCAAAAGAAAACGAGGGCACCAAAGAGCCCTCTTTGCTTCAGTGTCTTTATCTGCAGTCACCGACTGGTAAGGGCTATCATTGTGTCTTGAAGTCCTTTGGGGTAGTCAGACCATAAGCTGGATTTTTAATCTGTGTCGCCTGGCCAAAGCAGTTCATTTGTGGGCTGCTGTCTATGGCCCAAGTCATTTTACTCTAGGCCCTCTTGTTTCCTGGTCAGTGGAATGAGGGGAGAGGCTGCTTTCACATCCCCAACCTCAAGGTATTGGGAAAATAATTAGGACAGGTGATTTTAAAAAAACAAATGCATTAAACTTTATTTGCTAAAACATACAACAAATTCAAAAGATGATTCTATTGTTATAATTCAGCCAAGTCTGGCATTGGTTCGGTATGACAGTGTGAACAAGTTGGCCACTGTGTGCACCTAGTGCGCACTCTCAGTGCTCCAGGGGTGGGGGAAGGGCGGGGCATTAAAGCCACTTAGTATCCGTGTGAACTTAAGGCACGTGTTCAGCCATTCTCATTGGTAAAATGGCAATAATAATAGTGATTATTATTAATAATTATTGCTTCATGGGGGAGGGGAATTTAATAATACATCTAAAGCATTTAGAATAATAATGCCTGGCACTTAGTAAGACTCAATAAATGCTGTTACTATTTGAAATAAAGCTGAAGTATAATAGATACCTAATTTTTAAGACATGCACAATGTACATAAAGCTGCTCTTGATGCAAAGTGGTAGGTTATTAGTGATTTTTCACTCATCATTATTTTTCACTCATTTGCTATTTATTCCTTTAGCAAATTTTTTTGAGAGTTTTATATAAGCATGAGACTCAGTGTTGCAGACACACCGAACGAAAACCAGACCGAGCCCTGCTGATTGAATGACAGGGATTGTGTGCAGCCTTTTCTAGGCCACTGGGGTGCAGCCCATGGATTCCTTCTCAGTATGTTTACAGGTGCACAGAACACAGGGATTATAAAGGAGGCCAGTTGTCTTGAAGTACAGTGAGAAAAATATTTAATCATAGTAAAAAGAGATGTGCCAGAAAATCCAATACTCTCATAATTTCAAAGTTGTGATGAGCTTAACAGTCTATTCAGAATTCCACCATAGCTGTAATGTTCTATGAATGTCTCTGTGCTTTTTTCTAGTGACAAGGTCAAGGTACTATTAACGCTGTTGTGATTTGTTGCCGATGACCTTAACTGAGGGAAATACAAATTTCAACCAGAAGCTTATAATAGTAAAGATAGAATTTTTCCCATTCAAGTTCACTTTCAGTGGAGTTCACATTTAAAAACCTCTCAGGAGATACAGGCATCCATCAAATTCCCACACAGGAACATGTGGGATTTCAGTAAAAGCCACTGCTGCGAAGCAGCAGTGTGGGGCTGGGAGAGCAGGGAAGAGGGGCTCACCTGCTCAGGTGGGGTGGATGGGTCGTGGGCTCCCCTCTGCAAGGGCCACGAGGAAGGTGAGCCTGAATGCCGTCCCCATGCTGTGCTCATTTTCACCTGTCCTGCTTCCGTTCCAGGATTAAATGGTCTCGGTGTGCTCCTACCAGGCAGTCAGACCCCTCATGCTGCGGGACCACCTTCAGGTCAGCGGCCACCCCTCAGCGTCCCTTGCATGGTCTTACCACCTTCGACACTGGGCCCGTTTCCTGTTCTCTACTCTCCGACGATGGCCAGACCGGTTTCCCCGGCTCCTGGCACTCTCCCGCACCCGGGACCTGTGCATTTTGGCTTGCCAGGCCTCGGACCAGCGCCTCATATTCTCATCAGCCCTGCAGCCGTGGTTAATCCAAAGTCCTCAACGCTCCTTTCTGCAGACCCTCAGCTTCAGGGTCCTCACTCACTTACCCAGAGTCCAGCGATGTCCAGACCACACAACATCATCCAGCCCGAGTCCCCCGTTCATGAGGGACACCCAGGATCTGTGGTAAAATTACAGCAGGTGAGCCCGGAAGTTTCATTTCCCTTTGGCACAAGAAGGCTCATCGCCCTGTGACGGGTGTGCCTGCATTTAATTAGCTTTGGTTTTGGTCACCTGACTGCAGGACCGGGGCTCTAGGTCAGGTTCTGCCAGCTTCCATTATGACCCTGAGCTATCTGCTTGTTCTATAGAGCACAAAGGCGGAAGGCAGGAGATCCATGCTTTAAAGACAGAAATATGGTTTAGTTTTTTTTTAAATTAGAGGGATTTCTTTTAGGCTTAGTTCAGGTTAATTTTTGATGAATGCTGAATATTCAGATCCTCCATGCTTTGATTTCATTAGGTTCAACCAGGGAAATTAAAGTCTTGATACTGACACAAAGATGTTTAGCACCTGCCATTTCTTAAAATACAACGTTTAGGAGGCAATGGATAAAAATATATATATAAATAAATATATAAATATATATTATATATATATGTAAAAATATATGCAATATACGAGGGGGGACCCAACAAAAACCAAAATTACCTTCTGGAGGGCAAGGCCCTGGGAGTACAGGCTCCCCCCCCCGCCCCCAGGTGAGTGTTCTAGGAACCCACCTGCATCGGTGAACCAGCTGGCTTGTTGTGGGAGGCTGTGTTTGACCTCAGTGAATTGTTTTGAAGACTTTCAATGCCTCTGGCCATTTCATGATGAATGAGTTAAAGCACGCCTGCCCATGCGCACTGAGTGTTCAGCAGTTTTTGACCAAAAATGGCATGACCCCCATGCCCCACCCTCCCTATGCACCCATTTTGCCCCTAGCAACTTTTTGTTTGTTTGTTTCCCTGGATGAAAAAAGTCCTCAAAGGGAAACATTTTGTGGATGAGGAAGAAGTGAGACAAAAAAATGGCAGAAGTACTAAGAGGCATCAAAATTGATGAGTTCAAAAACTATTGAGCAGTGAAAAAAAATCCTTCATAGGTGTTTTGCATCAAATGGAGAGCACTTCAAAGGTGACTGAAGTTTAAATGTGTAGGAATACATACACAATTTTTTATAAATAAATTCTGGGGTTTTTGGGTCCCCCCTTGTGTATATACACACACATGAACTATATGCAAGATCAATATAAATTAATCAGTACTGTATCCCCCCCCAAACTCCATTTGTACTTCAATCAATAAGTATTTGTTGAATTCCTATCATGCATTAGGCATAGTTTAGAGTGATTACTTTCTCTCCCAAAGAGTTATATTGTGGCCATAAATATTTTAGACATTGAAATAAACATGTTAATTTTTAAACAAGGTGATTATAACACAACATGCTTTTTGATCACCAGTTATGTGCTAGGCACTGATCTAGGCAGTGAAGATATTACAGTAAACAGAATAGTAGTCCTTGCCCTTTTAGGCATGTTAAGGGGATAAATATTTAAAATTTAACAGGAGAGAATAAATATTAGTAAACAAAGAGCCAACATACTATACTTAACTATTTGCCTCATATGCTCTGAAGTGCTTTATAAATATATTGTTTAATTTTTACAACCACCTTAAAGTCAGTACTTGTATCATCCCTATCGTATGGGTGTAGAAACTGAGGTACATAGTGGTTAAGTCCTTTGCCCCAGGCCACACAGCTAATTATGGAAGAGCCCAGACCTGGCTCCAGGTGCCACGCTTGTAAACTCTTTGCTAGGCTGACTTTCTGCACACAAAATAAATAAGTTAATGTCCAATTGTGATAAGTGTTGAGAAGGAGATGAATTGGATGAATGTGATAGAAAAACAGAGAAGAGGGATCAAAATGCGTAGGGATCAAAATGACACAGGTCTGGGCTTCCAGTTCAGAGACTGAGAATGATTTGACTTTGGTTCTGCTTTTATTTACTTTTTTTTTTTTCCTTTTTTAGTCACCAGCTCCAGTGACCCCCAAGAGCATCCGACACACACAGCGTGAGACATTCTTCAAGACGCCCGGCAGCCTCGGAGACCATGTCCTTAGGAGAAGAGAAAGCAAACAGTTGCAGAACACCAGCTCAGCACAGAGACGACTTGAGATACCCAGCAGCGGGGCCGACTAACCTGACGCTTTGCCAAATGGGGGTGGCATCGAACCACCCGAGTTTCCCTATGTCACAGGTCATGTCCTAATTCTGGAGCGGAAAGCAGAAGGCACACCATCGCGCCCCTTTCCTCTTTCATCCACCGGTTCTAACATTAACTTCCCATCACCGTCATTTTCCTCAACGTAATTGTTACTATTTGTGCATTTAATACCAGTTAGAGTCCAAACTCTGTGCCTGGTGTCACAGTGAAAGCACCGACTGACTTGTGGTTTTGCTTCGAGAATTATGTTATTGCTGGAAGTAGATCTGAACAGGCTACTGGAGCCTTGTGGTTTTCCTAAAGGTGGGGCCTACCTAGCACTTAACTAGGGTGAGCGTTCTTGACGGTATTTCCACTCGCCCTGAGTAGACCTGTGGTGAGAGAAGCTTCCTTTCTGCAGTTTAAAAAAGCTACTGCTTCCTTAGGCCTTCTCAGGAAGACAGCTTCAGTTGTGAATCCTATGGCATTATTTATTTTTGTCCCTGAAATGGGATTTAGTGCAAAAAGTTTACAACTACAGCAAAACATTTTTCAGGGTATGACGACTTGAATGTTTGTACTTTTTTCCTATAATTTGCCCTGCACTTACTTTACAACCTAGTGATAATGTGGATAAATGTGTACACATGACGGAATGTCAAGACCAAAATCACTGTGAATGGCACAGCCTTCTAGAGTGAACTGTGCTAACCCTGTCTGGGCGTGAGAACTCAGATGAACTCCAGCAACCTAAGGGCTGCTTCTCAAATAACTGTGGACACACGAAACCCTACCATGTTCACTACCCTTCATTACAAGCCCCTTTGGTTTTTCTTTTCTTTTTTTTTTTTTTTTTTTTTTTTTAAATGTTAACTGTAGACTCAGCAGAGTTGTCCAGCCTTTTGGCACCTCTGGGCCACACTGGAAGAGTTGTCTTAGGCCACACATTTAATACATTGTGACACGTAATCACACACACAAAAAAATCTCATAACGTTTTAAGTAAATTTACCATTTTGTGTTGTGCAGCATCGGTAATCATCCTGGGCTGCGTGCGGCCTGCAGGCTGCAGGTTGGACACCCCTGCTAGAGGGTCAGGTATGGATGCCTTCACACAACTGCTATTTGTGGAATAAATCAGGATGGTGGAAAATAATTGTATGGAAAATTGGAACCTGCATAGGACCTTTTGGTAGAATTCTGAAGAGTTAATATAGAAATTGATAAGAGGACAATAGGTGATTATTTTTTTTCCTCCAGTTTGAAAGGGTAAGAGGAAAATGGACACATTATGTTCAGCATCCAAGAATATTCAAACCAGAATTATTTTTCAGAGTACTTCAGAAAAATAAGAATGGTGAATGTAAGAGTTTATTGTTCTCTAGTATGACTACAGTTCTGGAAACTGTTAGGCAGTATCCCTTTGTTAAACTGTATTACTTTAGGGCTTCAGAAAGTGGCCAAACTAGATCTTTGTATGTGTAGATTTATTGATATTTATCTCTCTCTTGTCTCTTGAGAATAAATGGCTTTCTCCTTCCCTCCTTTCTTTATTCCCTTCTCTCTTTTAAAATTTCTATCTTAGATTTGAAATCTTGGTATAGGGTTTTATTTTATTTTTATTTTTGGACCCAATAAAACGTTATATGAAAAAATAAAACTATTAATTTAAGAGACTCTAGGAGTCTGTGTAAAGTAGCTTTATATTAACTACAGGATAATATTAGTCTTATTACCCCCACAAGATCTTTTGAAACTTGAGGTAGGTAGTCAGATTAAATAAATTTGCTACTATACAAAAATTTAATTAACACTAAACTTTTAAAGTTTACAAGATGATATTTTCCCCTTTTTACAATAGTCTCTAGAATTAAACATAAAAAAATGTTCAGACATCAACAGTTGCACGGTATGATTATCTTGAACTAATATGATGGGGTTTCCTGTTGGAACCGATGAAAATAGGCCCTTGTCAGGACACGCGGTACATAAGTCTGCACAGGGGAACACATTTAAATGCGCCGTGCTTGAGACGTCCCCCAGAATATTTTCACTTGACAGATCTGCATTTAGATTAAAACAAACTTTTTTTCTCCTAAGTGTCCCCAGATGTTCTTCATTTGAATAACCTCTTAAAAATTCTGTCCACATAAACCTCAGAGAATTCACGGTTCTTAAGGGGTGTTAGGAAGCAACCCTACAAATGAGAACGTTATGTCTCCGTGACCATACTTAGCGATAGAAAACTAAAAACAGATTCCTTTGTAGTCAGTACCCACTTCTTAATGTGGCTGTGTGATATGTAAAAATAATGCAATGGTTCTGTCAGGACGATGAACCTGTTTCTTACAGAGCAACTAATAATAGCAAAGCTGCTGGGCTAGACTTGGGTGTTTGGGGCAGTGGCACAGCAATGCCAACCTTGAGTCTATCATTGTATAACTTAATAAAAGAAGAAAGTCATTGTTGATAATCCTGCTAAGGAAATGCAGCTCTGAGTTGGCCCTGAGGAGGGCGTGTGTCCTACACTGTCCAGGGTTTGTGAAACCCTTTCATTCTGGTACAAGAGTTGGGGGTATAGCTTTTATACTTGAATCTACCTACCGAGTTTACATTTCTCAATTCCTTTTTGTAAGGTGCTGTTTCTGTATTTAAATAACTTTTTCTTTCAGTGTAAAGCTGCTTTCTGCTTGTCTGTTGCACTGCTAGTTTTATGTAGGTATTAATTTTATTGCTGCTTAACTGCTTTTGTTTTCCTATTTAGTTCTCTTTTTTTAATGGCTATATTATCTATAGCTATTTGTAACTTTCCTACATGTAAACTGATTCTTTTTAGAAAAATATTAAACGTTACAAAACAGCAATAAAATTTAAGAGATGTTGGTTATGTTTGTTGGTAGACTTTGTGTGTGTGCTGTTTTCAGGAAAACTATTAACCGTCGCAGGACAGCCAACAGACCTCATGAACCCAAGTTAGATTTTTCTGCTGAGACCTTCCCGTGGTTACCAAACGTCAAAACCTACTGTATCAGAATGACACGGGAGATCGGGAAGGTTGAGGGACTGTGCTGTTAAACATCTGAATTCTGAGTTAGAATCTCTGGAGGTTTGGAGCTTCCAGACGATTCTATGCTTATGCAATATAAGAATCACAGGTGAATGCAGACTACCTCCCCAACTTCTCGTGATACCTACAAGGTTAAATGCTTCTCAGTCGAGCCAATGCGCACCTTTACTACAAAGCCAAATTCCATTGTTAACCCTCACTTTTAAATGAACCTCCAGGCCCACTTACTCTGATTCACACTAGCTCATCATATCCTAGAGTCGGTTCTGTTGCATTGTTGTCAGTCTCCCCTGGTAAATTGTGAGGTGCTAAGGGAAACAACAGCTTTGACAGCCCACCAACAAGCCCAGTGCGAGGCACCCAGTTAGAAGCCCCCAAAATAGTGGACAGAGGAACTCTCGGACCCACAGTCGGGCTTGCCCCTTTGCCAAGATTCAGTTAGGTTCAGCTTGTGCCTCCCTTATTTTACTGTGTCCTCTTCTAACATGTCACTTGTTGCCCCAGTCCCCAGTGTCACAAGACAGAAAAGAAACTATTCTACACAGCGCCAGGATTAGAATTTTACTAGCATATATTTAGTGGCATATTACATAATAACAGGATCTTGCTCTATTGCAGGCATTTGCCAATATCATATGCCCGGTCTTTAACGGTGTAAGCTGCATTGACCAAGCAGGACTCGTGAAGTAATCATGAAAGCAGCTTTGATATGTCTCCCAGGTCAGTGCGGGTAACCCATTTGCCCTTGGATGAACACTAGGTTAGGTGCTATGAACTTCTATGACTATGGAAATTCTGTAGTCATTTCAAGCTGCAAGGACAGTCTTGATTCATTATGTGGAAGTATTTAAAACTGCACCTGGAGCTCATTTACAATAGAGGCAGGTGTGGTCCTTTGTCTGTGGAGCATTTCTCCTTCCTCAGCCTGCTTGCCCACCTTTCTAGTCCCAGCAAGGTCACAGATTCCTGGGCAGGATTTGGACCAGTCCCAGGCTGGCTCTACCATCAGCCCACATTGGTGCCCTGTGCCTTGATTCTTGGAGAGAAGGCCCAGCCGCACTCAGCAGCCTCTTCCTCCCGTCACTGCCGCAGCTGCTGACACGCCGCATCCCTTCAGTGCCCCAGGCCAGTGCCACACCAGCACACATTTACTTTTGCAGTGACAGGGTGAGAAGCAAGCAGCACTCCGCACTTCCCATTGGCCGCTCTGAGGAGGCAGAGGTCGAGGAACACAGCATAACCCTCCAAAGAAGGCTCCACAAAACCCATTTCTCCTTCCATTGGTTCAAACCTTTCAAGGCGTTGAGGGTGCAGGAATTCAGTATTAGTGGAATGATGTGCAAAACCTCTATCCATTCTTTGGAATGCAGCATTTACTACAGTTGGGTGCTGCAGCCAAACTCACCATTTAAAATCCTGTTACAACAGGAACAATCTTAAAATGTCCAAGATTTGTATCATCCTGGGTGATTGTTATGACGTTTAATGGCTCATCGTTATAAAAGTAAATTTTGGTTGCTATTAATTTTAGTGTTAAAATCAGTTTGATTCAATGTTCTTTTTGATCTGAAAATGCTTCTGAAATTAAGAAATTATACCTAAAACTCAAACAGTTTTCTTCATTTTATTCTCTTATATCTAAATCCTTTTTTGGAAATAGCCCACTGGTAGTCTTCAATATGATATACAAGCTCTTAGATACACAAGCATCCAGTCTCTTCAACTATGCCCTGAAAAACTCAAAAGTGGGTAATCCTGGTAAAACAAAATTAAACAGTTATTTTGTTTCAATACAGGATTTATTAGAGACTTAAATTCACAAGATGAAATAAATTTAACCAGTTGGATATAGGGGCAGTTTTTTTTCTTAGAGCATCTCACAAGGTTCTGCAAAAGGTACCACGATAAGCAATGAATTAACCCACTAGA